ACTGATGAATATTTGCTTATCACCATAGAACCTTCATCTGGCGATGAATGGAGATACAGACAGAGACCCACATCATAACACTGAACTTAACTCGCTAGGTTCAAACGAGAAGCAGAAGGAAAGAGAACGTGAGCAAAGACGGCAAGATCAGAGAGAACCTTCATCCCACGATGGATGGCGATACAGATGGAGACCCACATTGGAGCACCGGACTGAGCCCCCCAAGGTCCAAATGAGGAGCAGAAGGAGGAAGAACATGAAAAAGGAAATAAGGACTGCGAGGGATGTGATCACCCACTGATACAAGGGGACGGATCTAATGAGAGTTTACCAAGCCCAGTTGTACTGGGACTGAACGAGGATGCAATCCAACCAGATTCTCTGAATGTGGCCGGATTCTCTGAATGTGACTGGCCGGAGTCTTTCTGAAAAGCCATTGACAATGGCATTGGGACTTGTTTCCTCTGCATATACTGGATTTTGCGGATCCAGTCCGTCTGGACGCTCACCTTCCTGGACCTGGAGGGAGGCGGGAGGAACTTGAACTTCCCACAGGGCAGGAAACCCTGACTGCTCTTAGGGATGGAGAGGGAGGAGGAGAGGGAGTGTGGGGAGTGGGAGGGTGTTGGGAGGAGGGGCGGAAATGGAAACTTGTATAATTTAATAAAATTACAAAAAAAAATAAAATAAAATTTTCTCGAAAGGAAAAAAAAAACAAAAAAACAAATGCTGCTACCATATATATTCATGATCCAAATATAGTAAATTTTTAAATGTCTACAGTTACTTTATTAATTCTCCATTGAGAATTTGAAATTCACCTAGATTTTTTTCTTTTTTTTATTAATTTATAAAAATTTCCACTTCCGCCCCTCCTACCAATACCCTCCCACTCCCCCCACTCCCTCTCCTCCTCCCTCTCCAGTCCTAAGAGCAGTCAGGGTTTCCTGCCCTGTGGGAAGTTCGAGTTCCTCTGCCCTCCCTCCAGGTCTAGGAAGGTGAGCATCCAAACAGACTAGAATCCCAAAAAGCCAGTACATGCAGATGAAACAAGTCCCAGTGCCATTATCGATGGCTTCTCAGACAGTCCCTGTGTCAGCCACATTTAAAGAATCCGGTTTGATCTCATTCTCGTTCAGTACCAGTCCAGCTGTCCTTGGTGAGCTCTCATTAGATCAGTCCCCTTGTATCAGTGGGTGAACGCACCCTTCGTGATTCTGACTTCATTTTTCATGTTCTCCTTCCTTCTTCTCCTCATTTGGACCTTGGGGGCTCAGTCCAGTGCTCCAATGTGGGTCTCTGTCTCTATCTCCATCAATCGTCGGATGAAGGTTCCCTCTGGTTCTGCTTTCCTTACTCACCATCTCCCTCCCTCTGCTTCTCATTTGGACATAGGAAGTTAAGTTCAGTGTTCCAATATGTGTCTCTCTCTCTCTATCTTCATCCTTCACCATATGAAGGTTCTGCGGTGACATGCAAAATATTCATCAGTATGGTTATGGGCAAAGGAAAGTTCAGGCACCCTCTCCTCTGCTGCCCAGGGAACAATCTGGGGACCTCTCCTTGGGCCTGTGAACCCCTCCAGAATCAAGTCTATTGAAAATCCTAAAATAGCTCCCTTAGTTGAGATATAAACTTCCCTGCTCCCATAACCATCCTTCCTCCCTCCCCCTCCTATTCCCCCAAGCCATCCCCAGTCCTCCCCCTCTCCCCTCTCCCTAAACATCTCCCCTTACTTGGTTCCCCAACCCCCATGCACCCAAGTTTGCCTGGCAATCTTGTCTACTTCTAATATCCAGGAGGATAACTATATGATTTTTTCAGGTTCACCTTCTTATTTAGCTTCTCTAGGATCACAAATTATAGACTCATAGAACATTAACTATGGCTAGAATCCACTTATGAGTCAGTGCATACCATATTCCTCTTTTTGGGTCTGGGTTACATAACTCAGTAAAGAGTTATCTATTTTCATCCATTTGCATGCAAAATTCAAGATATCATTGTTTTTTTATCGCTGAGTAAAACTCTAATTTATATATGTTCCACACCTTTTTTAACCATTCTTCTATTGAGGGGAACCTAGGTTATTTCCATGTTAAGGCTATTACAAATAGTGCAGCTATGAACATAGTTGAACAAATGCTTTTGTAGTATGATAGGGCATCTCTTGGGTATATTCCCAAGAGTGGAATTGCTGGGTCCTGAGGGAGGTTGATTCCTAGTTTTCTGAGGAACCGCCACACTGATTTCTACAGTGTCTGCACAAGTTTGCATTCCCACCAACAATGGATGAGTGTTCCCCTCACTCCACATCCTCTCCAGCATAGGCTATCATTGGTGTTTTTCAGTTTAGCTATTCTGACAGGAGTAAGATTTTATCCCAAAGTGATTTTGATTTGCATTTCCCTAATCACTAAGGAGGTTGAGCATGACCTTAAGTGTCTTTTGGCCATTCGAAATTCATCTGCTGTGAATTCTCTGTTCAGTTCAGTACCCCATTTTTAAATTGGGTTAATTAGAGTTTTAGTGTCTAGCTTCTTGAGTTCTTTGTATATTTTGGAGATCAGACCTTTGTCTGATGAGGGATTTGTGAAGATCTTCTCCCAGTCAGAAGGTAGCCTTTTTGTCTTACTAACAGTGTCCTTTGCTTTACAGAAGCTTCTCAGTTCCAGGAGGTCCCATTTATTCATTAATTCTCTTATTGTCTGAGCTATTGGGGTTCTACTTAGGAAGTGGTCTCCTGTGCCTATATCTTGTAGACTACTTCCCACTTTCTCTTCTATCAGGTTCAAAGTGGACAGATTAATGTTCAGGTCTTTAATCCACTTGGACTTGAGTTTTGTGCATGGTGATAGATATGGATCTACTTTCATTCTTCTACAGGTTGATATCCAGTTATGCCAGCATTATTTGTTAAAGATTCTTTCCTTCTTCCTTTGTATACCTTTAGCTCCCTTTTCGAAAATTAGGTGTTCATAGGTTTGTGGGTTAATATCCAGGTCTTCTATTCGATTCCATAGGTGGACTTTTCTGTTCTTATGCCAATACCAAGCTCTTTTCAATACTGTAGCTCTGTAATACAGTTTGAACACAGGAATGGTAATGCTTCCAGAAGTTCCATTATTGTATAAGATTGTTTTGGCTATCCCGGGTTTTTTGTTTTGCCATATAAACTCGGTTATTGTTCTCTCAAGGTCTGTGAAGAATTTTGATAGGATTTCGATGGGGATTACATTGAATCTATAGATTGCTTTTGGTAGAATTGCCATTTTTACTGTGTTGATTCTCCCAATCCAAGAGCAAGGGAGATCTTTCCATTTTCTGGTATCCTCCTCAATTTCTTTCTTCAAGGACTTAAAGTTCTTGTCAAATAGGTCTTTCACTTCCTTTGTTAGAGTAACCCCTAGATATTTTATGCTATTTGTGGCTATTGTGAAAGGTAATATTTCTCTGATTTCCCTCTCTGCTTCTTTACCCTTTGTGTATAGGAGAGCAACCGATTTTTTGGAGCTGATCATGATTTAGTAGTTGACTGTTCAACTTCCATGAGTTTGTTGGTTTCCTGGGGGTTGCATTGTTGTTGAATTCTAACTTTAATCCATGGTGATCTGACAAGACATAGGTGGTTACTAATTTTTTTGTATCTGTGGAAGTTTGCTTTGTTACAGAGTATGTGGTCAATTTTTGAGAAGGTTCCATGAGCTGCAGAGATGAAGGTATATTCTTTCCTATTTGGGTGGAATGTTCTGTAGATATCTGTTAAGTCCATTTGATTCATTACCTCTAGTAATTGTCTTATTTCTCTGTTGAGTTTCTGTCTGATTGACCTGTCCATTGGTGAGAGAGGTGTGTTGAAGTCTCCTACTTTTAGTGTGCATGGTTTGATGATTGCCTTGAGTTCTAGAAGTGTTTCTTTTACATACATGGTTGCCTTTATATTAGGGGCATAGATATTTAGGATTGAGACTTCTTACTGATGAATTGTTCCTGTTATGAGTATAAAATCCATGTCCATCTTTTCTGATTGATTTTAGTTTGAAGTCAATTTTGTTAAATATTAGAATGGCCACACCCGCTTGTTTCTTAGGTCCATTTGGTTGGAAAACCTTTTTTCAACCCTTTACTCTGAGTAGATGTCTGTCTTTGTGGTTGAGATGTGTTTCTTGTAAACAGCAGAATTTTGGATCCTGTTTTCATATCCAATCTCTAAGTTTGTGCCTTTTTATAGGTGAATTGAGTCCATTGATATTAATTGATATTAATGACCAGTGGTTGTTGACTCCGGTCATTTTTTTTTTGTGTGTGTGTAGTAGAGTGTAAGAGTGTATGTCTTTTCCTTTGTAGAGTTGTGCTTGTGAAGGGTCGCTAGATATCTGAGTTATTTTAGGCAGTGTTGGGAATATTAGATTCCTTGGGTTGAGATTTTCCTTCTAATATTCTCTGTAAGGCTGGATTTGCAGCTATGTATTGTTTAATTTTTTTTTATCCTGGAATATTTTGTTTTCTTTTTCTTTTTTTTTTAAAGTAATTTTATTAAATTATAAAAGTTTCCATTTACGCCCCTCTTCCCAACACCCTCCCACTCCCCCCCCTCTCCTCCTCCCTCTTTGTCCCTAAGGGCAGTCAGGGTTTCAAGCCCTGTGGGAAGTTCAAGTTCGTCCCCCCTCCCTCCAGGTCCAGGAAGGTGAGTATCCAAACAGACTGGATCCCAAAAATCCAGTATATGCAGAGGAAACTAGTCCCAGTGTCATTGTCAATGGCTTCTCAGAAAGACTCCGGGTCAGCCACATTCAGAGAATCCGGCCACATTCAGAGAATCTGGTTGGATCACGTGCTCGTTCAGTTGCAGTCCAACCGGCCTTGGTAAACTCTCATTAGATCCGACCCCTTGTATCAGTGGGTGATAGCATCCCTCGCAGTCCTTCGTCATTTTCTTCGTCCTTCTGCTCCTCATTTTGACCTTGGGGGGCTCAGTCCGGTGCTCCAATGTGGGTCTCCATCTGTATCGCCATCCATCGCCAGATGAAGGATCTATGGTGATAAGCAAAATATTCATCAGTATGGTTATGGGCCAAGGCCGGTTCAGGCACCCTCTCCTCTGTCCAGAGAACAATCTGGGGATCTCTCCTTGGACCTGGGATCCCATATATAATCAAGTTTCCTATAAACCCTAAAATGACTCCCTTGGTTGAAATGTATTCTTCCCTGATCCCATATTCATCCTTCCTCCCTTCCCCCCATCCCGGTCAACCGAGCTTTCTCCATTCCTCCCCTACTCCCTTCTCTCTAACCCTCTCCCCTTCCAACAACCCTCCAACCCCCCCATGCACCCAAGGTTACCTGGGACTCTTGACTATTTCCTACCTCCTGACGGATAGCTAAATAATCTTCATCAGGTTCGTCTTCTTATTTAGCTTCTCTAGGATCACGAATAATAGGCTCAAAGACCTTAAAATTATGGTTAGAAACCACTTATGAGTGAATACATACTGTGTTCCTCTTTTTGGGTCTGGCAGACAGTCTCAGGGATACCTTTATAAAGAAATGCCAGTATTCAATACAGGAATGGGGCCCCCAGCTGCCTTAGGCAACTTCACTAGATCAGGATCTACACCCATGTAGATAAACCCATAATCCATTCAGAAAATGCTTGGTTCCCAAAGCATTCACACCACTGAACCCTTAGCTGAAATTATGGATTGTTTGAACACAGCATAATATAAGCCATATGCAGATTTTTGCATCTTTTAGAAACACCTTAATTAAAAAACCCATATAAATATAAAAGCATTTCTTTCCGGTTATGGTTGATTTCAATTAAAAATATTGTAAGTTGAAATATCTTTTTATATATGCCTAAATTATTTTTACCTAAATTAGCTTACTACCAACTACTGTGTTCCTTCTCCAGTTGCCTTTCTAATGTGGTGACTGACTGGAAACATCTGTAGAAAATAACTTACTACGTATCTTATCCAGAGCTCAGGAACACTTCAATAGTCAAAACATAGTTTCTGCTGAGCGTATGGCTTTTGCAGTAATGTTGAAAAAAAATCTGTTGAACCATCATAAGTCTGAATTCCATCTTAATAGATAAATAGCTAAACCCAGTATTTATAGCATAATTTCAACATATTTTAAATATTAGGAGGGGTTTTTCTATAGTGTAATGTTTATCATGTTCAACTCAAAAGAAATATTAATACAAATATTTTACAATTTTTTTGTATAGTCTTCTGAATTTGTTGTATATTTTATACTTGACAGCATTTTTAATTAGGTATACAACAGTTCAAATGCTCAATAGCCTCAGGTGTTAATAGGCACCCGATGCTCATTAAATTTTTGATACTAAAAGCTTTGCATGCATCATTTCTTCTGGGACCAAATGAACATTCTTATGTACTTGATATTATCAGTATATATAACTTTTCTAGGACTTGCCTATTCATCTAATTTTAGGACTAGCTAGCTGGTATTAACAATCAAGTCTGTCTTATTCAGGATGCTACGTCTCTTAGTGTTTTCTTCCAATTATGTTTTGGTATTTTTGCTAAGGTACTACCCCAGTTTAAATGAAAGAGCTGCAGTTTCATGCCTAGGTCTTTTAATTTCTTTCTTTCTTTTTCTTTTTTAGACATGATCTCACAGGTCTAGAGAGATGCCTTAGTATTCAGTAGCTTAGAGGTTATACTGCTCTTGGAGAGAACCCAGATTCAAATCCCAGCACTCACATGGTAGCTTATGACAGTCTAAACCTCCAGGAGATTCAGGAGTGATATTTAGTTTTAATGACATGATCATATTTTGTAGCCAGGTTATTCTGCAACTTTCTTTGTAGACCAGGCTGGTATTAAACTCACAGAGATCCAAATATTTCTGCCTCCCCTCTTTTATAAGTAAAACAGTGTAACCCTGTTCCAGATATGTGTATGGATCTATAGGTAGTAGGTTTAAATTTGAATATAATTAAATTTCTTACATGATTTCTTTGAAGGGAAGTTAGAGTCTCAGTAGCATAGTCTGACCTAGAACTTATTTGTTAACATTGCTGACCTCAGACTCTTAGCAGACCTTTGCCTCATCCTTCCAAATGCTAGGATTGCAGGAACAAGCCAGTATACACAGAAGATCCATCAGTTTCTGTCTTCATTGTGTGTGTTCTGTTTGTCTTTAGAAGAGTTTCTTTAAAAATCATCACAAATGTGCATTCCTTTATGATTCTTTAAATATGCTCTTATGTATTTTTATTTTAAAAGTATATAACAGGTATGAAAGTTTTACCTGCATATATATCTGGGCACTGCTTAGATGCCTGGTGCCCTTATAGACCAAAATTGTGTATCAGATACCAGGAAAAAAACCAGAGCCTTCTTTTAAAAGGCTATATTGTTCTGGATGATGAAATAAACATAGAAGATGAATAAAAAATTCCAATAAGATACAGGAAATACATATTCTTGAAGACTTCTATAAATGATCAAAGACCAAAGCTAAGAATGCATACAAATGACATTGCAATTTAGGGATTACCAGACACAGGTTTAGACATGAGTATCATTACTCCATAATCATGGCATCCAAGAGTCAAATATTCAATTCCTATGAACTGGAACCCTATCTCATGTGAAACTGAAAGACCCCCACCCAATTGAAACCTGTCTCTCACACGAAAAGAGGAACCAGGTGGGGCCCAACTGAACAGGATATCTGCAGTCAGCTGGCTATGTAGAAACTAGGCCAACAGGAAGATAGCGGGACCAGCAAGTCACTGTGACATCTCTCAAAACAGCCAGAGTGCCGGACTTAGCTTTATTTAGATCTTATGGTCTTTCCAAGAACCTGAAAATGGACAGACAGCCCTGTCCTAAACTCAATCCCAGACTGCCATGCAAGAACCAATGAAATGCTTGTTGCTATGCAGCCTCTTATGTAACTCCTGAACCCCCTATAAATGCATGACATTTCTCTAGCCCAGCATACTCATTCAGTTAAGTTGTTGAGGCATCTGCAGGCACATGCGTATTCAATAAACTGCTTCTTGCTCTTGCATCCAGTGAACTGGTTCTTGGGCAGAGGGCTCCAAGTGAGATCCCCTGCCTTTTGGGGTCTTTCATTTGGAGGTTCCACCGAGATCAGAGACCCCAGCCCCAACAACCGGACACCCACTGGGAGGTAAGCTGGCCAGCTGTTCACTGTCATTTTTGTCTCTGTCTTATGTTTTGTCTTTGATATGTTTTGAGATCTGAAATTGATTATGTAGTCGTTCTGTATCTGTTGGCAGCTTGAGAAGGAGCTGATGAGCTCAGACTTCTCCCCCGCCACCCTGAGAGACAATCTGGGGATCAGAAGAGCCCGATTGTTTGGAGCTCAATACGTATCAGAAGGATACGTTGTTTTGCAGGAGGAAAGGGGATCTCACATCTCCACTTCTCCCTCTGAGTATTTGCTTTCAGTTTTGCGCCGAAAACATGCAGCACGTCTGTTTGCAGGCTGTCTGATTATATTGTCTATCCTTTTTATTTGTAATCTGATATATTTGGAAGGAGAAATGGGTCAAACCATAACCACCCCTTTGAGTCTGACTCTAGATCACTGGAATGAAATACAGGAGCTCATAACCAGTCAGTCGAAGTGAAAAAGAAAAAATGGCAGATCTTCTGCACTTCAGATTGGCCAACCTTCAACGTTGGCTGGTCTAGGGATGGAACCTTTAACACTGATGTCATTTTGCAGATAAAGGAGCGGGTCTTTGACAAAGGACCCCATGGGCATCTAGACCAGGTGGCTTACATCGTCACCTGGGAGAGCCTGGCTGACAATCTACCACCCTGGGTGGCCCCTTTAGTTACTCCCAAACCTCCTCTGAAAACCATTGCAGCAGTTTCAGACTCTCCTTGGAAGCCCTATCCCTCAGCCCCTCCTCCTCCTTCTCTCGTACCCATGCTTCCTACCCTAGCTCCCAAGAATCCCAAATCCTCCTACCTTTACCCTGTCATAGAAAAGGACCCACCCAAATCTGCTAAACCTAAACCTGTGCCACCCCCCCCGATGACTCAGTTCTTATAGACCTGCTAGCAGAAGAACCTCCACCCTATCAACCTCCCCACCAGCTCTAGCCTTGGACCCCACAGGTCCGAGAAATGAGGAACCGGATAGTCCCGACAGCATGGTCCCCACTCTGGGTGGAGGAGACGAGAGGCCCTCAGATTCCCCGGTCCCAGGAAGACTCCAAGGGAGGAGGGAAACAATCCCCTTAGAAGGAACCTCTAGAGCATTTCCCTTGCGCCAGATGGGGGGAACCAGGGAATCAGGTCCAATACTGGCCTTTTTCTGCCTCTGACCTATATATAATTGGAAGTCTCACAACCCATCTTTCTCTAAAGATTCTGTAGCCCTTACTAATTTAATTGAATCTATCCTAATAATACATCAACCCACTTGGGATGATTGTCAGCTGTTCTTACTTGGGATGAAGTCAGGCCCTCCTGACTTCAGAGGAAAAACAGAGGGTATTCCTGGAAGCAAGGAAAAATGTCCTAGGTGATGATGGGAGACCCACCCAACTCCCTAATGAGATTGATGCTGTCTTTCCCTTAACCTGCCCAGAATGGGATTTTAACACCGCTGAAGGTAGGGGACACCTATGTTTTTACCGCCAGTTACTCATAGTGGGCCTCCACGGCACTGGATGCTGACCTACCAATTTGACTTAAGTAAGACAGGTTAACCAAGGCCCGGAGGAGACTCCGACCGCCTTCCTGGAGCGACTTAAGGAGGCATATCACATGTATACCCACTTTGATCCAAAAAGCAATGAGCAGCAGGGTAATGTGTCTATGGCTTTTATTTGGCAGTCAGCTCCAGATATTAGAAATAAATTACAGAGATTGGAGAACTTACAGGATTATACATTACAGGACTTATTAAAGAAGGCAGAAAAGATTTAACAAGAGGGAGACTCCAGAAGAAAAGGAAGAAAGGATAAGAAAACAACAGGAAGAAAGGGAGGACAGGCTTAAAAAAGAATTAGAAGAAAAAAAGAATGAACAGGACCGCAAGCGCAATAGAGAGCTTAGCAATCTCTAGGCCACTGTAGTATAGACCAACTCAGGTTTAGGGAGGCAAGATAGAAGGGGAGACAATAGGAGGTCACAGGTAGATCTAGACCAATGTGTCTATTGCAAAGAAAAAGGATATTGGGCCAAAGATGCCCTAAGAAACCCAGAGACCAAAAGAAGAGACCTGGAAAGCCTGCCCACCTGCTGGTTCTGAAGGAAGATTAGGGGTGTCAGGGTCAGGAGCCCCCTCTGAGCCCAGGATAATCCTACAAGTTGGGGGGCAACCTGTCACTTTTTTAGTAGACACAGGGGCTTACTACTCAGTGCTTACCGACAACCAAGGACCTTTAAGCAGCAGAACAGCCTGGGTATAAGGCACCACAGGAGGAAAACAATACCACTGGACTACTGAAAGGAAAGTACACCTGGCAACAGGTAAAGTCTCCCATTCTTTTCTACATGTGCCTGATT